TCAGGATGGGTGTAGGAGGCCCAGGTTTGAAGACATTTTTGCCCTCGGGTACAGTTCAGACGATCAGTTTCAACTGAGTGTTTCCCTCTCCACTTCTTATATCATTCCCTCTTGCCCTCCTTAGAGACCGGAATGTTGATTTTTAGATTATTGGAGAAGGAATTTTATAAAAATAAAGCACCCAGAATTTCACCCAGCTTCTCCTGCTTCTGCTCAAATGGCATACGCCAATACTCAGTTGATTATTGAGATCAAATGGGCCAAACATGCTGATTGGCACAGCTCCATTGAAGTGGGTGGCACTAGTTTACACCAGCAGAGAATATGGCCCATCTTTCAACAACATCGAGGATTCAAAGCAATCTGTCAAAAAATCAGCATGTTTCATGAAGAGTTGGCTGTGATAGATTTTCCTTGCTTATCCTGCTCTAATAATCGCCTATGCACCTACTGTTACTTGTTTGCTGAGAGTTAAACTATATTTTAAAGTGCAGAGAGGGCTTCTTCCTTACCTATTTAGGGATTGTGCCCTGAGGACTCCGATCATTGATGCTGTATGATTCATTGATTATAAGCCTTTTAATTGATAAGAAATCTCTCATCTTAATTACTAGCAGCATTTGCATTTTGGCTCTCAGACCTGTTGTAAACGCCGGAAAGGGAAATACACCTCTATCCCGATATAACGCTGTCCTCGGGAGCCAAAAAATCTTACTGTGTTATAGGTGAAACCGCGTTCTATCGAACTTGCTTTGATCCGCCAGTGCGTGCAGCCCCGCCCCCTCAGAGCGCTGCTTTACTGCATTATATCCGCATTTGTGTTATAACGGGTCGCGTTCTATCGGGGTAGAGATGTAATACTCAGGGTTCTAGCCTGCAACGATGGTACTAATTTAGGCCAGGATCCTGCAAAGACAAGCTCACACTTAACTTTACTCACTGTGAATAGTCCCTTCGTGTTCAGTGTGTAAAGTTAAGCACTCGTGTAAATTGTTGTAGGATCAAGAACCCTCAAGAAATTGTAGGATGAGCCTTATGCTAGTTTTATTCTTTGAACATGATTGATTACGGCTGATATAATGGAGTTTTGACTAAAGCTCAGGACTGCGCATCAAGAGATGTGAATTATATTTCCAAGTCACTTCAACCATCTCTGCCTCGGTTTCTCCATCTGCAAAATGGCAGTGCAGATTCTTCCCAGGATCACAAAAGGGTGACAGGGGTAGTGAGGCTTAATTAATCTGAGATCCTTGGAGAGAAAGGTTGTATAAGGTTATAATAATAATAATTTTAGTACTTCCCACCTCTACAGAACTATTTTATGCTTTTAATGTTCTTTTAAAAAGAGGAAACGTATAATAAAGTTACTTAGGTAGTCATAAAAATAGACTGTGGTGGAATAGTGAGTTGAAAGTTACTGGTCAGTGGCACTGTTATGAAGTTCATATCCAGTTGGGTATTTGTTTGCACTTTTGGACCTGGATTGTACAGTTCAATTTAATTTTTTATCTTTTCGATCTTTAAAAGGAAACTCTTATCTTTGGATACTGTAAAAGTGCTTGGTGTCTCTTGTGTTACTGGCAGAGCTTGGTTTGCAAAAGGCCATTTGTTTGCCTAACATCTGCTGTACTGTTTTGGAGTAAGGGAAGAATTAGCATAGAGAGAGAGCTAAAGGAACTCTGCTTGTTCTCAAGGAGTTTTGACTCCAGTCATGAGCCTCATTCTCAGGTCTGGGTGAGCTGTGCCAAGCTGAGTGCAGGACCTGAGAGTTGGGGGACGAAGGTGGCTTTATACCAGCTTTGTGACTCTGTTAAAGAGTAAGTCAGCTCCCAGTGTAAGTTAGAGAGACCCTAAGGTAGCTCTGACTTGCACCTGGCTACCAGAGAATGGGTGGGACATAGAGATGATAGAACCACATCCCCTTGAGCGGGGTGTGGTGCAGAGGGAATTCCCATCTGGAATATGTGCCACGTTTTCCAGCCCCGTTGTGCCACAGAGCAGTGCATTGGTGATTGTTGTCTTAGATACCACTGCGTGGGCACTCTGTCAAGGGCTCACTGTTGAATGGCAACCACTGCCTGAAGGAAAAGAATGTGCCGGCAAGTACTAAGGGGAAAGACAAACCGATAGGGACGTGGCATCGTTGCCCACTGTAAAAAGCTGGGCAAAATCTCCTGGTTTTACTTTCCAAGGTGTTTGTGGTCAGAGTGATAATGAAATCACACAGGCCAAAATAACAAAAAGAAAAACGTGATTTTTTTCACTTTCCCTTGAAATTAGCAAAAAAAAATTGAATTTGAGAGTTTCACTTCCTGTTGCAAGCTTTTTGCAGAGCTGCAGGCATCAGATGTTTTCATAGCCTGTTCAGAGCAGACTGGGAATGCAATGGAACGGATGACTTCTCTAGAGGTACCTTTGAGAAAGTTACTCATTACCTTGAAGAAGTTGCCTCCCATCCCCTGGAAACTGCAACAGAAATCTTCTCTTAGGCTCTGCCCTTCTGTGATAGATAGAATAGATTTTCCGTGTCAAAGGAAACCCCATTTTTCCTGGCTGACACCTTGTTACTTGCTTTTCATGTTCTATATTCTTTTCTGTGTGGATTTCAGAGAACTGCTAGCTCATAGCTTTGCTCTTTTTAGCCACCTGACAAGGCCCTGGACTCTGTGGTTCAATGATGGGCCATGGCAGATCTGTAACTGCCGTTGTGTGCCACTCGTAGAGAGACACAGGAAATCTCTCTTTGCCCAGGGACCACATTTGAAATATTAAATGGGTGGAAGGACCTGATCCCAAAGGCTTTCTATTGACATCAGTGGGCTTTGGATCGGCCCTATGTGATAATTCATCTTATATTCATGACATTTATTCTGTCCTATCGCTCACTGTTATGTCTCTGTTAGGATGGTGCCTAACAAGTCCACTGAACAGGAATGAAATGAGGCACTTTTCAACTCCTTGTCAGAGCAAGGGAAACCACAGATAGGATCTCCTTTCCCTTCTTTAAAGGAAGGTCATCATCTGACTGTTTAAAGCATTTCAGGAGTACCTGGCAGGACACATGCTGCTCATCCTAAAATGAAAGCAATTCAGAGCAGCTTCTGCCAAGAATGTATTTTGATCTTTGGCTTTCTCCTTGGTTGTCAATCTCTTTTTTGTCTTCCTTTGCCAGTAGCTATAGATCATGGTGAGACTGCAGTGCTGCTGTGAGTATTCAGTGCAGCCATTCCCAATTCCGTGGCTACTTTAAATGACTAAAGCAAATCACTTCCTTTCCATCCATCCCTTTGGTGAACGGCTTCTGTGATCGGACAGGCCACGTTCACATTCTGCTCAGAGAGGCCCCAACCCAGCTCGCTTTGAAGTCAATGGGAGACTTTTTGGGTTAACTTCAGTGGACATTGGATCCTCCCCTGATAGGCTGGATGTGTCAGTCCTTCTGTCTCAGCATTAGATTACGCAGGTGGCATTATCCCATAACCAAAATACCAAGCAGCCAGATGCTGAGATGCACCAAACTACTCCCCTACCAAAAAAAAAAAAAAAAGCACTTTCAGTGTCTTCCTAGCTGTTGTAGCCACCAAAATTAATGAATGTGTCAATTGCTTTTACACACAAAAAATGTATGTCCTGGTCGCACAGCACAGGATCGCTGGCAAGTCTGTGACCGTGTAGCCTATCGCATGCTGTTCTTCTCAAACCAGCTGGCTTCTGCCTAGGCCTCGGACATGATCATCAGCACAATAGCACCAACGGTAACAGATTGCAGATGAATTCATGACAAGTACACAAGACAATTCTAGTTTTATATTTTGTGGGCTGAGCGTCCCCCCAACCCCCAGCCCCCCGCCAGTAACATTTGTATTTTTTTGGATCGTTAATTCCTTTAGGAGATGCAAACCTTTAAACAGCCTTTTTTCAAGTGTTGCTCTTAACAAGACACCTGTGCTTCCCCCTCCTGGGCTTTCAGCAAAAAGAAATCCTTTCTTTCCAGCAGATGTTTGCCTTTGAGAAAGCATCTTACCTATCTGAGCCACATCCAGTATTAAGTAACTCAGGATCAGGTGACAAGGGAAAGATTCATTTGATTAAGGATGCTAATCTAGATGACAGTCCTAAATAATAACCCTGAAGGCCAACTTCCCAGAGGAGCCTAGACGATTGCCTTCCTGGGCATATGCACAGAGCTATTGTTCCAGTCCTTCACTTCGTCCTGGAATTCCTGTAAGAGAACATCATCCTCTCTGACAGACTGCAGGAAGCCGCAAGATGGATGCTATGTAAAAAGCATCCCTCCTGCCCACCTTCTAAACCGGATTCTTCCCAGACAGAACATGAAAGGACGTAAAGGAGCAAAATGGTCCAAACTGGAACATTCAAACCACAGATGGGTACTTTAAATCAATACCATGGGAGCCCTTTTAGAAGTGTTATCTTGTATTTTTAAAGACCGCTTGAGCCTTGGCCGTTGGGTTAATGTTGGATTTGCCAATAAGAGGAATCTTGTCATTTAGCCACCATTTTTAAGGCTCACATGTGCCTTGAACTTCAAAACAGAGAGAGTGTCCTTATTAAACCTCCAGCCAGCCACAGAGCGATGGGAAGTGGAATGTTTATATCAAATGTGAAAAGATGAGCTAAAAGTCACCCAGTTACACCAACAGTTTGCTTGAGTGCTGTTCTAGAGCAGCGTTATTTGCCAGGGAGCCCAGTAGCCTTCCCCTAGCCAGAACAAAGGGAGTTTTGCAGACAAGTCACACATTATCTCCAATGCGGTCCTGAGTAAATTAATATCACTGGCCTGCAAGGCGCTTTCCAGTCTCTGCACAATTCAACCCAAGACAGTACGTGATCATTATGCCTCTATTTCACACAAGCCAATACAAAATTAACAGGCCCAGAACTGGAGGCTTGTTTCTCAGCGTTCCCAAGGGATAAGCACAGCACTGGATTCCACCGTGTCTTTTTTTTTTTATGTTTCTTCTGTGTTTTCTTAACAGGTGGGTGACAGGCCATTGGAGTTCTTGCTCTGCGACCTGCGAGAAAGGCATCCAGTACCGGGAAGTGACTTGTGTTTATCAGTTGCAGAATGGCACCTATGTTAACACCAGAGACCTCTACTGCCTGGGCCACAAACCCACGCCAATACAAAGCTGTGAAGGCCAGGACTGCCTTTCTATCTGGGAGGCTTCAGAATGGTCAAAGGTAAGAATTTGGTTTGAGGGGGAAACCAGAGCTCTCTCTAAAATCTCCTGGGCTTGATCCTGAGGGTGCTGAGCGCTCTGGCCCTGATCCAGGAAAACACTTAAAATTAAGTACTGGATAGAGGCAAGAGAGCCCAGTGCCTTGCAGGACCATGACCAGCCAGTATGATTACAAATGCAGAAGAGCTGTATGGTGCTGAGCAGTGTTTTCCATACCCGTGAATTATTGAGGTAGGTTCTATAAACCCAGCTGCATTATGTGTATCTTTCCAATCTGCAATCAAGACCACCGAGGAGAAGCATTTCAGTGTGATGAGGAGTTCAACCAGCACAGCAAGCCTTTTGGCTCCGATCAAGAGTATTTTGAAATTAATATCTGATCAGTGGTCTGTTCTGTGTTGCAGGATGTCCTGGATCACTCCATCTTTGAGACTTTTCTGATTCTAGCTGGTATGATCCTTTTAGAAACACAGAAAAACTGGTGCATTTATAAAGCGTTTGTCAATGGTTAGGAAATTATTAATAGATGTGACAAGCATGTTATAGACATGAGTAGTATGTGCTATAGGTGGTAATAAGCCATGGTTATAAGCACCCTACTGACCTGTTGGAGTCTAACAATCTTAGAGCAATTACTTAGCCTTGTACTAAAATGTCTATTAATTATGTTTCAGACATAGTATAAACTATTTATAAATGTGCTCTTATTATAAAGCGTGACCAAAAAATCTCATTAGGATATAAGGGAAATCCCATTTCTGTACTAGAAATATTGACCTCTTGTTTTACACATGAATTGATAGGAACTAGGCTGGGCCATATGTTATGAAGTAGTAAAAACCACCACTGATGCTGCATCCTTTAAGAATAGTCATAGGAAAGAACTGGCATGTCCAATAAAATCCCCAACTATCCCTTAGAATTCAATAGCAAAATAACCAGCTTTGCAACATTAGCAATGAATGAAAAACAGAAGAATATTTTCATAATTAAAATAATCCTAAACAACTCCAGGGACCCTGGATATGTACAGAGGGTGTTTTTTTAACAGGGACTAAGTGCTATTTAATTGTAGTCAGGAAATCTCCAGTACAAGAGGTAATATTCTAAAGTTCCAGGACAGTATATTATTTTACCATTCAACAGGACACTACATACATTCGCTAGTGCTTGAAACTCTTTTTCTTCCAAAGCTTTTCATCTTTTTCCCACTCCCAAATGGAGGAAGCAAAGTTCTGGGATTTTGGAATGTGTTATAGCTCGTTTATACATCATCATTCCAGATTATCCCTTCTTTTTATTTCTGATGGGACGCCTGTTTCTAGGTCTGCTGCATTGTAGAAATGCTTGTTTATGATGGTACTGTTGTCATTGTGGTTTCCTGAAACTCTCGCCTATTTCAGATGGGCAAAGCTCATTAACTGGTTGTGTGTGGTCTTTTGTCACCAATCCATTTCCCAGTTAGAACAGTGTTTGCATCTTGCTTTTGTTAAATGAGTGTAATTTGAGCTACATAAGGGATTCATCAGAGCAAAAGTCAGCTAAACAGTTTCATGACAAATATGTATTTTTTAAATTATCTGAAAGTGAGAGATTTATTTTTCCTTTAATACTTTTCTCCAAAATGTTGGGATCTAGATTAATCATTGCCAACCAGTTGGTTTTTGAAGTTAGTTCTTTTTCAAGACGTGTTTTTGCGATCATATGGTCCATTTTGACTCAGGAAAGACAATTTCACATTGTGTTAGTCTGAGCACATTTTATACCCATAAACCTTTCTTGGCTGCAAATCAATTAAATCCTTAACATTTGAAACTGAGTTTGTGGAAAAAAACACACTATCACAATGGTGATATCATTTTATAAACCAATTTTCACATGAATTATTTTGTTTTTTGGCTACAAAGGAAAAAAATTGAATAAAGTGCAAGTTGAGGTCTGGTCTCCAATGAAAAAGTACGTTCTCAAAGCTAAATCCAAGACAATCTTCAGTGTGGAAAAAAAAATTAAGTTCCCTTTTTAATGCCAAATGCTTGGAATGACTTGGATAAAGTGTTGCTCAACCCATTTTTAATGACCAAAAATAGAGAGCAGTTATAAAAAGTGAAAGTCTCTACTGTTCAGGAGTTGGGATAGAATTTGAAGAAAGATGTGCTGATTTGCTTCTACCAAGAGGCCTGTAATGATGTATAATGCGCAAGGGTCAGGTAGACCAAAGTGCAGTCCAGATAAGTGGTCAAAGTTCACATTTTGCCAGCAGATCCAATTCAGGGAGAAGACCCAGAGAGGCAGCTAGCGTGGTCTGGTAAGATAGTAAGTCAGGATCTGACGGGGCTGCAAGGCAGAGTCAAGCAGGGTCCAACTAGCAGCTAGCAGGCAAAGGCTTGTTGCTCAGACAAGGCCAGAGAGGAAGCAGGAAGTTTATATATGGCCACCAGCCAATCAGTGTCAAGATCATGTGGCCAATCAGGAAGCAGATCCTGGAAGCTGGCCCATCCAAGTCTTTGAATTCCCTGGTAATTGAATGAGCTGGTGTGACACGATGACCGAGGCTGCTTCCTGGGAACCCAGTCAGCTAGGGTTTGAGAGCAAGGTCCTCACAACGTTTGTCAATGGGATTGTCTCTTGGCTTTTGTCTCAATTCTTTATAAAACCTTTTGGGGTTTGGTCAGGTGGTTTGTTAATAAACTAAAGATGTATCAGGCCATCTGGTGTAATCTGGACATTCATCCATTGCAAATGTTTTCTGTAGAATCTTTGTAAAACCCAGCTACTAAAAAAATGTTCTTAATGGTCTGAGCAGTTGAGCAGAGCAGTGAACTTGTTAATGAAGCTGTTGATATGTCACCACTACAGGCACTCTGATCACAGACTGTTTTGTCACCTATAGGAAAGCAAATGTGGTGTAGATTTGCGAATGACATAAAGGCTCATGCAAATAAATGTTTGTTTTTTCCAAAATGTTTGTAAATCCCTGAGAGAGTTTTACGTTGTGGAAAATACTCCTACTTTAGCTTTACTCAGTTTTAGCAAATTGGATGATTCAAGGGGTTAAAAACAACACGATGAGACCAAACACCCTGGAGGAGTTCATCCTGTCACCTTATGACATCTTACACCGCAGTCAGGAACACTGCTTGATAGTTCAGGAAATTCTGCACCAAATGGAGCAATCCATTGCTTGTAGGTACAGCCTAAGAAATACAGCTTGAGTTCTCAGGGAAGTTGATAAGAGCTTTAAGGAGTCTGCCATTGCAGCTTACAGAGGTCTCTCTGTAGCCTGAAGGAATTTGTCCTAGTAGCTTGTGGAACCCTATGATCGTGTTCATTATAAAGACATAACTTCCATAAGGAGGTCATGCAATGAACAGCACACAGTAAATTAAGTGGACAGCTTCCCAGATTTTAAAGAAGTCATTTTGTAGTTGCCGTGAAGTATTTAAAGGCATGTCTGTTAGCTTGCCAGCTCATAAACACTTGTCATTCATGTCCTTAACAAGGCTAGCAGGTCAAAACTGCCTGGATTGTATTTTTAAGGCAGACAGGCATGCTGAGATTTGTCCATTTGATGTAACGTATCAAGCTGATGCTTGTTTCCAGCATAGACCCCCTGAATGGAGAAGCCTCTTGGAATATGCTCAAAAGACCTCACAGGGTATTTCGTATCTCCACTATTTATTCAGTGTCAAGTCAACTGTCTTTTCCTCACTGATCCCTGAGGGGGAGAACTTGACGCTCAAGAGAGTTAGTTGTTATCTCAGTTGGTATGTATATCATTTTTCCACCCACCTGTCCCCAGCGGGCTTTCCATGAAAACTGGCTTGTAACCACTGCACTGGCAGGAAAGTGGAGCGTAGGAAGAACCTACGTGCTGCTGTACATTGGTACGATTTAGATGGGTTTGACAATGCCACCCGTTTCCATATCCCTTTGTTGGAAAAGTGATCATTTAAAGCAGTGTTTCTTAGTCTTGGGATTGTGACTTCATCCAGGGTGGGTCCCTGAGGGGGCTGTGAGGTCATGGCAAACTCTCTAACAAAACAAAAATTCCAACATTCCTTCAACTTGGGTAGCAAAATGATGCTCAAATATCCCTACATGCATAGCAGCCTTGGCAGAATCCACTTCCACAGAACTCAAGAACTTAAAATGGACGTTTGGTGCCCACTCACGTGCACGTGGATTACATTGTCCTGGTACTTGTAATCCTGTCTCCTCTAGTGGCTGCTCCCAGCAAGTGTAACTGTCTGCTGCTTTCTCAGAGCTAAGGAATATACCCCTTATCACAAGTTGGAGAGGCCCGTGCTGTTAGTGCCAAAGAGCTCGTCTTTGAGCCCTGCTGATGACTCAGGTGTCTGTGTGTAGCCATAGTTTGCTGGATGTCATTTTGAACTGATCGCAAACTGGGGGGTCAAGGAGGGTGAATGGAAATACATTGGCATAATATCAGCCTTGGGTTATGTGTACTGTATGATTGCATGCATTGCCATAACCTGTGATGGGAAGCATAATTAAACAAATAGAAAGAGTGCGAATATGTTTGTCATTTGCTCTCAACATAATTATGAGAGAGCACGCTGTACAGAATCAAAGATCCAGTGCAGGGTACGCATTATTGGCATTGCAGAAGACTTTGCTGCAGGATTTCGTGAGCTGGTATACCGCGAGACCTTGCAAATTCCACTGTGCAGCCAAGAGATTGAGTTGGTGCCACTGTGATTTTAGAATGCTTCATTGCATAGTCATGCAAAAGCAAAGGATGCAGAAACTTCCCTATTGTGTACTCTGGTGTATTTGTCCTTTTTCAGTATTGATAATAATCTCTTAAAGGGGTTAAAAATTCCACACGTGCAACACTGACTCCTGTTTAGAACTGGTTGAATTTTTTCAAATAAAAGGTTTTTTTGTTTGCAAAATTGCCGTCTTTTGGAAATATTTTTCCACAAAATATTGTCAGATTTCTTGCCTTTTTTTTAAAAAACATTTACTGGGTAAAATATTAGGGCTGTCAAGCGATTAAAAAAATGAATCGTGATTAATCACGCAATGAATTGCACTGTTAAAGAATAAGAGAATACCATTTATTTAAATATTTTTGGAGGTTTTCTACATTTTCAAATATATTGATTTCAGTTACCACACAGAATACTAAGTGTACTGTACTCACTTTATATTATTATTTTTATTACAAATATTTGCACAGTAAAAAACAAAAGAAATAGTATTTTTAATTCACCTAATACAAATAATGTAGTACAAATAGTATTTTTAATTCACCTAATACAAATAATGTAGTACAATCTGGGTCATCATCCAAGATTGCTATAACATTAATTATATGGCAGAATGTGGGTAAAACAGAGTAGGAGACATACAATTTTCTCCCAAGGAGATCAGTCACAAATTTAATTAACGCATCATTTTTTTAACAAGCGTCATCAGTATGGAAGCATGTCCTCTGAAACGGTGGGTGAAGCATGAAGGGGCATATGAGTGTTTAGCATATGTGACACGTAAGTACCTTGCAATGATGGCTACAAAAGTGCCATGCGAACGCCTGTTCTCACTTTCAGGTGACATTGTAAATAAGAAGCGGACAGCATTATGTCCCGTAAATGTAAACAAACGTGTTTGTCTTAGCGATTGGCTCAACAAAAAGGACTGAGTGGACTTGTCAGCTCTAAAGTTTTACGTTGTTTTGTTTTTTGAGTGCAATTATGTAACAAAAAATCTACATTTGTAAGTTGCACTTACATGATAGAGATTGCACTACAGTACTTGTATGAGGTGAATTGAAAAATACTATTTCTTTTATCATTTTACAGTGCAAATATTGTAATAAAAATAATATAAAGTGAGCAGTGTACACTTTATTCTGTGTTGTAAGTGAAATTAATATATTTGAAAATGTAGAAAAACATCCAAAAAATTTAATAAATTTCAATTGGTATTCTATTGTTTAACAGTGCAATGAAAACTGCAATTGTGATTAATTTTTTTTAGTTAATCGTGTGAGTTAACTGCGATTAATCAACAGCCCTAGTTAAAAATTCCACACCTGCAACAGTGACTCCTGTTTAGAACTGGTTGAAAATTTTCAAATAAAAGGTTTTTTTAGTTGCAAAATTGCTGTTTTTCTGAAACGTTTTTCCACAAAATATTGTCAGATTTCTTGCCTTGTTTAAAAAATATTTACTGAAAAAAAAATTGAAAGTATCATTACATTTTTTTTGTTTGTTTCCCATGGTTTTGGTAAATGAAATTTTAGATTGGTATTTTAGATAATGTAAAAATTTGGTAGAGGGGAAATTATTAAAGTGGCTAAAAGAATTGAAAAAAATGAATCCTTCAAAATTACAAAACAGCTTTGAATAGTTAAAATTTTTCATGAAACTTGTTTTTCATTTGTCCCTCGACTCTGCTTCTGCAGCTGTGATGACACCCAGCCGAGATGGTAATTATTTGTAGTACCATAGTGAGTAGGAGCCCTGGTCACAGATCGGGATCTCTGGTCACAGATCGGGATCCCATTCTGCTAGGTGCTGTCGTGCAGCAGTTGAAGGTAATGCCTCTTGTTTTTCAGTGCTCGGCAGATTGCGGCCGGGGAATCCAGAAGAGAACAGTAATGTGCACGAATTCTCAAGGGAAATGCGATGCGGCCACCAGGCCAAGGGACGAGGAAGAGTGTGAGGATCACACAGGCTGTTATGAGTGGAAAACAGGGGATTGGTCTAAGGTAATGGTAAACTCTGAGCAGTGTTTGCACTCTAATTGCCTAGATTATCAGGTCAGGAAACCACCCTTTAAACAACCCTTCCATGTGGATTTTAATGGGTTTTAATTATACTGTTTAATAGGAAATAGACGTATTTTCATGTTGTTGTTTTTTTAATTTGATTTCCATGAAAGTAGTTTAGGGATTTAAACACTCCGTCACAGCATCGACAACCCAAACATTGCAGCTTTGGGCTACTGCACAAGACACAGACATCTGTTTCCATTTTCTAAGCTGAGCAAACGGCAAAGTAAGCAGCAGAAGTTTTTTTTTTTTAGAAATGTATCTTTCAGTGCTAACGGTTGCAGGTATTGTTAGAAATGTGGCCGCCGAGGAGTAATGGGAGCCTAAATGGCGGCTCGTGTGGCCTGTTGTGAGGAGCAGAGAGGGGCTGTAACTGCTGGTCTGACCTCCAGCTCCCAAAGGTTTTCTCTGGCTGTGTGCCATAACTGCTGTATGACCCCCCACCCCCAGAGGTTGCCTATGCTATGGCTATATGCCACACACACATGTTCTCCGCCATGGTTTTGGGATGCATTGTGGTTGGCAGACCTCCCTCAAAGTCCCTTATGAGGCTAAGAAGAGAATGAAGAAGCTGAGCAGTCCACAGAGACACCAGGCTGGCTCGCAGTTCTACCTCAGAGCTCTCAGTAGAGGTGGCATCCCCTGGCAACAACCACCCCCTTCAAGGTAATCAGTGGAAATGGACACAGTCTGAAGCCCCCCTGCTATCTCCAGGATCAGTCTATCCCCCTTTAGCCGCCCCCCGCTCTCTCCTTGCCAGGAGAAGGAGAACTCTCAGGGCTCAAGAGGGCAAAGTGAATGGCAGAATCCACTAAGAGAGATTTGGTGCGGGAACTCGTTTGCTTGGGACTCTCCTGCACTGACCTGCACGCAAGAGGGTGAGGCAGGCTTTGGGCTTGGCCGTAGAGAGAGCCTGCTAGGGGAAATGAAACAAAACACTATCTGAAAGAAGGCAGGTTGGCCTAGTTAATGTGGGCTTCAAGTGCCTGGCACCTGGCTGACAGAACCAAGGGCCTGGGAGAACTGGTGTTAAACAGCACATTGGAAAGGACCTGTTCAGCAAATCCTTCCCAAGAGAGACAAGGGGACTCAAAGCACCGAATGGCAAATTCTGCTCCTGACTCATACAAGTAGCCCCTGATGGCAAGCAGAATCTGACACTTCCTGTTTCATCATAGTAAAGATGGATCCAAAGCTGTATCTCCCGTAGCCACCAGCACCTCATAGGCACAAGAAATACACTGCACGGTCTTATCCGTGACTCACTCTGACCCTCTGAAGTGAAAATTAGTCATTTACTTAAAAATAGAGCCAGAATTCCCATCCTCAGGGCCTCACTCTACCCCCACTCACACCGTCGTGAATGTAGAGCCCCTAGAGTGTTGTCAGTGGACTTAATCCTGATATACCGATGTAAGTCAGAGGAGAATTGGTGCCTGAGTTTTCACTCAATCCTTAGCCGCACAGTCAGTTTTCTTTGAGTACGGACCTCAGCAATTGGCCACGCTGTTCATAAAATCTCTTTAAATTGCTAACTTCATGCTTGCTTGGGGGACTGAAATTTCCCAGGAATATTATATTCCAGTCCTGTTTTATCTTATCTTTGTAACTGTACCATTCTTTAAACACAAAGCCTGTTTTGTGTTCAGGAATGTACGGCATGTGCTGAAACCACTGGGATACAGTAGTTTCATTTTGCTTTCCAAAAAAGCAAATTTAATTCTTGTTGTTGATCAAACTCCAGTGAAACAGAGGCCATCGCAGGCAAATGGGCTTACCTGCCGTAGCATTTTTTAGATGACGATCGGTAATAAAAATATTTGTAAATAGATCCCCTCAGGAGGCAATTGTATGTGAATCTAATGGTGTTGATGCTGGAGAATGCATTAAGAACCTGCCATATGCAATAAGTCTATATTTATGCTGAAACAAGAAGCTGTATAACAGAATGTTTAGAGTATTGAACGTTATTTTATTCATAACCTGGCATGCAGAACCCAGGAGAACTAGCCAAAATAAACTGTCCCCCTATATTAACAGGTGAAATAACATTTTTTTAAAAAAATCTTAAAACATTTCAGAGTAGGAATTGACTAGGACTCTTTTTATAGCGGGAAATATGAAATAGTTGTGAATTCACCAATTACATAGAATCAGCGATCCAGAGGTTTTAAATCCAGTAGGAGATCCCCTAAAGCCATCATACATCCTAACCCATCCTGCTGGTATTGACTAGCATAGCATGGTAGGTGGCCCCCTTTAGTGAACATGTCATTGTTTGGAGACTAAAAGTTTGGGAGCAGTAGAGTGTAGCGAGCTGCATGAAGTCAAACTAAAATCCCATTGTAAAACATTGTTGCTACATAAATTGCCGTGAAAGAATTTAGCGCTTATAAAACGGAAGCTTTTCGTGTTAATACCAGTTAGCCTCAGCACATGCAACGACTTCGTAAAATTATTTCATTAGGCATTTTCAGTCTATTGCTGGGAGTATTTTTGTGGGGGGGAGGGGTTAATGATTAATAGTTATTTTCTCAGATAAAAAAAAATTTTTGATTCTTTACATGCAAACAACTTACATAGCAGCCCCACAAATACTCTGCCCTCCAATCCATCCCTCATCCAAACTGTGACGATTAAGGTTTTAAAATCCATCATGAGGAACATAGGAAGAGACAAAACCTCATAAAAAGAATAAAGTCCAGACAAACCTTATAAATAGGATAGGTCCATGTGTGGTAATGGGCAAACTGTTTTTATTATTTACAGAGCAGCCTCCCTGGAATACACAGAGCATATAAATGAACAGACAGATCACTGCTGTAGAGAGCTTACGGTCAAATTCAGACATGACAGAGCACACGATGACAGTAAACAATGCCTGAGTGAGGCACATGGGATGAACCAGGGTTACCACGGCAAAAGATGAGACATGTTTATGTTATGTACCCATCTCATTAGTTCCTGGTGTGCTCAGATACTACGGTGATGCAATATAAAACCTTAACTTACTTTGTTAGTAGTATTTTATACATTATCTCTATGTACACTCACACATTCATATACAAGTTTATATAGGGGCTTGATCCACTTTGTGCAGAACAGGAAGTTGGGGGTGGGGTGGGCACATGGGCTGTGTCTGTGCGACTACCTAGATCTTCCGGCCCAAGCTTCACATACTGTGTCTGCAGCCCCCACAGCTCTACTACTACTCCTCAGCCCTTAGAGCAGTGTTTCCCAAACTTGGGACGCCGCTTGTGTAGGGAAAGCCCCCGGCGGGCCGGGCCAGTTTGTTTACCTGCCGCATCCGCAGGTCCGGGCGATCGCGGCTCCCACTGGCCGCGGTTCACTGCTCTAGGACGATGGGAGATGCGGGAAGCAGCGGCCAGTAAGTCCCTCGGCCCGTGCCGCTTCCAGCAGCCCCCATTGGCCTGGAGCAGCGAACCACGGCCCCAAGTGGTGCCGATGTCCATTGTGCAATGCCATTTGCTCTGGCTTATGGCTGGGAGGAGAATTTCAGCCCTAATTGTTGTCATATTTGCAACGTATGTGGGGGATACTATTTAAAGTTGCCACTAAAGTTTATTCCGAGTGTCCTATGCAGATACACATGTGACATTTTTAGTTCACTCTGCAGTTCCTTACTGTTTATCCAGCCCCTGAGGATAATATAATTATTATTTTTATTTATTTAGCACTAACGCAGAACTATACAAAACATAAATGAAGACATTCCATGTCCCACACATCCTATCATCTAAAGGGTGGACATACTAGATGAAAGTGAAAGCATACTAGATGAAAGTGTTCGCTTAGAATTTTAAATCTTTCTTTCTTTCTCTCTAACCTGATGTCTTCAGAGTCACAATTCATTATAAATTTTTCCTATATGATATAAAGGTAACCAAATGAATAGGAACCAACTCAGTCATCTCCCATTCACACTATTTATCCACGTGGAAATGCATCTATCCACGTCAGCCGTTTCTGGAAGTGTTGTTCGCCCAGTTAGTATTCAGATAAACACACACATCTCACTCACTCACCATCATTTGGATACTTTGAAGCAGTTCTATATTGGCTGAAAACTGTGGCCTGTTAAACATTTTATCATTGGATAGTAAATAACATCTTTTTTTGTTGTTTATTGTGCTGTTTAAAGGAAAGGATCAACGTTGCTCATTTTCCCAGAACTTCACACTGAAGCATAGATTTTAAAAATATGTTTCGAACCTGTTAGTTATTCCAGGGGTCCTGCTTTTTAGCAGTATGGACGTTGATGAACTACGATGGCTTAAATATATTGCGGACTAACTTCAGCTAGGGCTCCTGATAACCTGGTAAATTACTGCACTCTTTTAAAAGATGCAGGTAGTTAATATTCTGAATGTATTGTTACATAAAGTTTAATGGTCTACATGATTTATCCTGTTCGCATGTGTTAGGCTGCACTTGAGGGAGTGAGCTGAAGGACTTTGTCCTTGACCTTGCATCCAGGATCCATCATGAGTCATGTAGTGAAAATGTACATCCTGCGTGATGCAGTGATGCATTTCTGACTTGGCTCAGGAGCGTGTTGGGTGGACCCCGGTGCTGACAAACATCAAGTGTTGCCTGAAGTTGAACAGTGCTAGGAGGTTGCTTTTCAGCTCCCCAAGCTGTCCCCAAATTTCTCCCTCTCCTCCACTCTCCTCCTAGTCTGGTATTGAAGAAGCAGTGAGATCACTCAGGTACAAATCAGCAAGTGGGATATTTTCCTCATCCTCTGTTTCCCCATTTGGCTGCTGGACTCCTTCAGGGTATAAGTGGAACTAGCAATATTTAAATAGAGAATGATTCACTATTCTTCTGGATTTTTTTCTTTTTTTAAATTTCTGACTTAGTTTATTTGTTTCACTGGTTGATACATCTTAACATTTGCTGTTTCTGCCTTGTGA